CCTCTCCTTGGAACTCCCAATTACTGACAATTTGGTCTTCAGTACCTCAACTTTAGGCTTTAGCAATGGATGCATTCTGTCAGAATAGGATGAGATTACAACTCAAGGCCTTCCCTCCAATTCATATGTTATCCAGGGTACTAAATATGATTTGTTCCAACCCATTGTTGGATCCTGTTGATAGCACCAGATTGACAGCTACACCCTGGTTTCTGCTTCTGCTGTACCTTCCGGAATGTCCACTTCTTTTAAGATCATCTTTGTGGAGGTGGCCATGGTCTGACATGGTACACCTGGCTATCCAGAAGCTCGAGCTTTGGGCTTCGGGGTTTAACTTCTAAGATTGCCATGTATTTTTCTCAGTCTTTGCTTAGTCCTGCGATGAACATTTATAAGCGGAAATGACACGGATATCGGCATTGGTGTTTTGAGAGGAGTTTGAACCCACTTTGATCAGAAATACGAAAAGTAACTCATTTTTGACCTGGGTCTTCAGCAAGGGTTTTTGTATCTTCCACAATTGCCCTGTATAAGGCAGCCTTATCAACTACCATTTAATACTTGCAAAAAAATATTCTTTGAATTCCCAGTACTCTCTGGATTCCTTGGGTCCTTGGTCTCACATATCCATTCCAGTTACGTAACTGGTTTATTAAGGTTACTTTACATGCCCTTTCTCAACACCTGTTTGTGACCTAATTCTCATATGCCATGTATCAACTTTAACCTGAAGGTTTATTTTAAGTTGTTGCTGACCTACAGACGTTGCTGGTCAGAGTGGTTTGTGTTGTTTGTCCCAGACCACTTTTTCATTCTATCTACATCATCAGATCGCTTCTTCTTACTCAAGACACTGTTAGACCCATGACCTGTGTCGGTAGGGTAAAGTAGTGTCTCGAGGAATTGTTTTAAAATGTATTTGGCAAATATATTGCAGAGATCTAATTAGTTTGCTAATAATAATAAACTTGAATCCTGCTTGCACCAGGCTTTTAGAACTTTTTGACTCTCAAGTAACAGTAGTCACTTCACATATCATTTGTGTTACCACTACGACTAAGTTATATTTTTTAATACGTTACATGAAATTATAAGTTATGAAGTACTGAACCTCTATAAATGTATGTACAGTGCTTTGGATAAAACCTTACAGTAGTTTTTTAATTGATCTTTTGTATAACTTAGTATGTTTTGAAAAATAATTTCATTAATAGAAGAAAAAAAAAAGTTATGAAATAGCTGTTGATATTTGCTAATTCCACTGGAAAAAAAAA